TAACAAGTAGGATGTCCTTTTCCAGGGACTGATCCTTCATGATGCTCTGCCCAAGGTACGTGAGATGAATACATGTCATCCTCGTTTCTAAGGACCCTTCTGCTGTATTTCCTCCAACACATTTGCTCATCCTTCAGGCAGTCCCTGTAGGACAGGGTAGAACTGCCTCAGAGGGTTTCTAGGCTCTAAAGCGTGGGACTTAGGCTGTTATCGCTTTCTTTTACAGTCCGGCCGGTTGGTTCAAACTGCTGACCTTTCAGTTAGCAGCCGACTGCTTAACCATCGTGTCTCTAGGGCACTAAAATTCATTAGCCCAATTAGCAAGGAAGCACAGCAGTTGAATTATATTTGGTGTTCACATACTACTCGTGAAATGTTTATATAACTAAGAAAGAAATTTCTGTCACATAGCCCTATCACCAAAAAATTTCAGTTGTTTCTTTGCCTAAGGAAGAAAGATGGGGCTTTCTACATTTGTTAAGATTTACAATCTTGGAAACTCACAGGGGCAGTTCTACCCTGTCCTATAGGGTCCCTATGATTCAGAATCGACTTGACAGCATTGAATCTGGTTTTTGTTAGTTCTTTCCTTAAAACACACATACACACACACACACACACACACACACATCTGCCTTTCTTTTAAAACTGTTTTTTAGTTTTAATTGAGCTTGAAAGTAGACCCCTCATATTAGTAGGGGGAATCATTTAGAACTTAGGGAAGCAGAGAGAAGACGCAGATTGCCCTATTTTATAAAGTAGCCTTTCCGGCCACGTTTTGAGCCTCTCAGATCTTCCCTCTCAGGTACAAGTGGTTGATTCTCAAAACACGAGACCATGTGCTCAGCCTTGTTGCCAAAAATGGCTCCCGGTGACAGGGCTGTGCTCCCATACTCGGGCAGGAGCAGTATCGCTGTGCTGTTTGTGCTCCACGGTAGCTAATAACTTGTGAGCCTTAGATGCTATGAATGTCAGCTCTGTGCAGGTTTCCGTCTGTGCATGAATGCTGATGTCTGTACTGCTGCCCCGCTGTCTCTCTGATCCTCACCCACAGTACATGAGACAAAGACTTGTCATCCTCGCCTCTGTCTGTATGTCTTCCAACACAGATTTGTTTTCATACTGTCTCTGTAAAAGACATCACCCTCTCACAAATGGGCTTAAGTACCACCTGAAAAGAGAAGCCTTTTAAGGCCCCTGGGAGACTGGCCAGTGCCCTTTGTCCCTTGCTTCACCTTCTAAAAGGTAGCATTGTTAAGTGAATTCAGCAGGGCCCTGCCTCAGTATAAACACTGCCCAACGGAGCCCGAAAGACTAATTGCATTGTACAATACATCACTTTTCAGCAACAGTTTCAAGTGGATCTGACTTCATCTCCCAAAACACCATGTTTTTTCCTCATTTATTTAAATGGAGAAAATACCTAAACATGATAGATAAAATATTTAAGCCCAACCCCGCCTTTCCCCATGAACTGTGAGCCTCATGAGGACAAGTTCTCTGTCTGCCACAGCGCCTGGCACGTGTCTGTGCCTCCAGCAGAGCCATGAGCAGTAGTTCGCCTGTCACCTCGGAATAACTCTTATTTCCAGCCTGGTGAAACAGTCGAAAGATCTGGTTGATGTAAGGGTTTTGGCTAAGTCTAAATGCTTCTTTGTGAGTTGGGTTTGCACAGACTGTAAGTTTCTGTGCTTCTAACTCTTTGTAACTCGGCCGGACCCCGTAAGGATCACACAAGGCAACCAAACCAAAACCCACTGCCGCCGAGCTGATGCCAACTTAGAGCGGCCCTGCAGAACAGAGTAGAACTGCCCGAGGGCTGTGAGTCTTCATGGAAGCAGACTGCCACGCGTTTCTTCTACAGAGCACTTGGTGGGTTTGAACCGACAACTTTTGATTGGCAGCCAAGTGTTTTAACCACTGTATCACCAAGGCTCCCACAATGCAACAGGAACTTCAACTTTTATTTTGGTTACAAGGGGCTTTTATTAAAAAGAAAGAAAGAAAATGATGCATCTGCCTGTATTTCTCAAAGGCACACAAACTTCTGCATAAGCTTAACACTAAAATAAATTTAGAATATTGAATTGCATAAATAGTGTAAACATATTTTAACTGCCACACATTGTCATATATTTGTATCACATGAATATATTGAGGAGTGGCTATGATTGTGCCTGCTGGGGAAACTCTCCTCTGTCTGGGCCCTGTCCACCAGGGCAATTCCTCTTTCCGCTCCTTCCGTCCTCTTTCTAGACCTGGCTCAGTGAGCCTTTTCCTTAGCCCTTGGCTCTAGCCCTCCCCACCAAACCAAAGTCACTGCCATCGAGTTGATTCTGACTCGGCGCGAGCCCATAGGGCCGAGGAGAACTGCCCCTGTGCGTTTCCAAGATGGAATTTTTGCAGGAGAAGATCCTCGTCTTTCTCCCACTGAGTGGCTGGTGGGCTTGAACCGCTGACTTTGTGGTTAGCAACCCAAAGCATAATCCACTACACCACCACCAGGGTCACCTCCTCTCCACACAGAAGAGTTGTGGATCTCTTTCATACATTTATATAACAGCCGAAGTGTTATTTGCAGTTTTAAATATTTCACTTGTCGTAGTAAACAGTGAGCCCTTTGCGGGTAGGGACTCTATCCTGTTTACTTTCCTTAACTAGCTTTTAGGAGCCCTGGTGGCGCTGTTGGGTCTGTGTCTGACTGCTAACCCCCAGGTCACTTAAGTTCAAACCCACTGAGGGAAAGATGAGGCTGTTGCCCCTGTAAAGATTTATAGCCTTGGAAACCCTAGATAGGGTTGCTATGAGTCGGAACCACCTGGATGACAGAGGGCAATGAGCATGCGCCCCCGGGGTAATTTTTTTGTGGCCTGTGATGCTCTGAAATAAAATGAAAATAGAAAAAAATGTTATGAAGAAAATAGCGCTCAGGGGAGATGGAGGCAATACTGCACACACAATATTCCCTTGTTAACCCTTTAACTACTGAACACGAGTATACATGTGGCCCAGTGCCTTTCCTGGGGGCCTGTGGACGTGGATAAATGCGCTGACTCGGTTCCGGCTACGTTTGGAAGCGATATGTCTGCCACTGTCAGTGTCCCATAATGTAAACAGACCCCAATAGCGAAAAGGTTAAAAAGAGCACTCTGGGGTGTGCTGTTATGAATCATACCTAGCAGCAGCGCTAATTAACATTTTTGGAAGGAACCCATTACCATTGTGCATCACGTTGGTCAGCTGTCCAACATTTTGTGGGGTTTTTTTTAAATCATTTTTTTAGGGGCTCATACAACTCTTATCACAATCCGTACATACATCAATGTGTAAAGCACATTTGTACATTCATAGCCCTCATCATTCTCAAAACATTTGCTCTCTACTTAAGCCTCCGGCATCAGCTTTCCCCTCCCTCCCCGCTTCCCCCTCCCTCATGAACCCTAGATAATTTATAAATTATTATTTTGTCATATCTTACACTGTCTGATGTCTCCCTTCACCCACTTTTCTGTTGTCCATCCCCCAGGGAGGGGGTTATATGTAGATCCTTGTAATTGGTTCCCCCTTTACACCACATTTTGTGTTTTTTATTAGTTATTTTGTTATATTTTCCAGTCACAACATAAGAAGTAAGTGAAAACTAGTAGGAGGAAAGTGCTGACAAGTTTTGGGTAAAAAAGAATAATTTTAGTTTTATAAAAATATTAAATAAAATAAATGTTTAAATAAAAGCAATTATATAGTGTTTTAATTATCCTATCCTTATTCTTGAATCCTCACTTCAAAATATAAATTTAACAAAATTTGTAAATGTGATGTGGCCTGCGTGAATCTTGCCTGTTGCACCAAATGGCCGCGTTTTGATTGAGTTTGACACCCCTGGCCTAGATCATGAAACAGAGTGGATTTTCAATTTTCTTTTTAGTAACTGAAGTTTTACTCATTGTATGTTGAGCTTCAGTCTTACCCCCAGGATTAGAGTTTTGATAGAGAATTTGGAAAGGCTGTACCTTCTATAAATAGAAACTGAGTCAGCTATCTGAATATCATCAGCCAGTCCATTTCTCATTATCAGTGAGCTAGTAGGTAAAGATTCCTTTAAGGTTAGGCATGATTTAAACTATTTCTATATCTCTGATATGATGTGTTTCCAAGGAACTATTTGTTCCTATTGATGCCAGTGACTTTTTGTAGTCCATTTTAAGTGTTGTCCCTTACTACCCAAAAGTGGAGACGGAGTTGAGAGCTTATGTTGGCCATAGTCTACCTGAGCTCAGCACTGCTCGTATGCAAGCAATTTCTTTCTGGTCCCCGAAGCAGGGTGTTTGAGACTGCTTTCTACTCATTCCAGTTATTAATTTTTAAATGTTTTTGTAAATATCTTATGCCTTTTGAATTTCATAATGTGCACACTTCACCTTTAAAAAATGGTACATTATATATTTATATAGATGTAGCTAGATGTATCCATGTTTATGTATCCACACACATATATATAGTTATTAATATCAGCATTCTTGTCTAGACAGTCATGAACTCCTTTTTTAACTAAAGCATTTTATTTTGAAATAATTATATTTTCATAGGAAGTTACAAAGATAGTACTGGAAAGTCCAGCTTACCATGCCCCCAGCTTATGCCAATACTTGCTTCTTAGTTAACTATGTCCGAGAGAGAGACCAGGAAATTGGCATTAATATAATGCATCTGTATTGTCCTGTGTTATTTCATTACATGTATAGATTAACAACCACCACCGCCATGATCCAGAAATGAAATGAATGAATTCCTTTCACCTGCCAAGGTTACTTTACCTTGTGTCTCGAAAAGACAAAGAGAAGTTAGATCTTACGTTTCCTTACACTGTGGGGAAGGAGAATCATGGGACTGTGTTCCGAAACCAATAGTAATACTTTGGTACCTTAGCTGTGGCTCTTATGGGAATGGGCATAGGAAGCGGGACGCTCCACCAGAACTGACCAAGGCAGCTTGTGTCGCAGGTGTCCAAGCAGGCCAAAGAGTTTCTGGAGTACGTGTACGAGGAGCCCCTCATCGACATCCAGCAAGAGAACCCCATGCTGTACCTGCACGCCGAGCCGCTGGCCACCGTGGTGCGCCTGAGGCAGCGGCTCAAGTCCCTCCGGGCCTATTTGTTCAGCTGCCGGGCCGCAGTGGCGGAGGATCTGCGCCGAAGGTAAGAATCATGCGTGTCAAACCCAGAGACCCATAGGTGCCAAGCAGACAAGAAAGGCACCAGGAGAAACAAGTGGCAGGGCTGTACGTGAATTTAGCTGCGCCAGTGCCTGGGAATGCGCTGGCCCAGTGAAGTTCACACAGGGTCACCAGTGAGGCCACTGCCCAGTTGCTTAGGCCTCAACACTTCCCTTGCCATGGTTCCTACCAACGCTTTCTATAGAACTGACATTGTGTATCTCACAGTTTGAATTTGTGTCTCATGCGAGTTCTATTTTTTTATAGTCTGGGTCTGGGACACAGTGCTTTTTGCTACTCTACATGTAAATAAACAAGGTATTAGCCACATTAAGAGGACACAAGATAGAGCATTTATTTCTTTATTGTGAAAAATGTTTCTGTCTTGCAACAATGAGTGTGTTTCCAAATTCATCTCCCGAGAAAGCAACAGAGGGCATTTTATCAGAAAATTGCATTTATCTTTGAGCAGTATATTTGCATATTACCATGTAAGGAAATGGAACAATTACTCGAGGAACTAAATAAATACATCTTATCATGTGCTCTGAGCCCTGGTCAATGTTTACGAATACCTACTGCACATTTCTCCCTGAAAAATATTTTTCACAGCTGAGTACATCAAAATACTCTTACCATTTCCTACCCAACAATCCACCCCTACTTCGCTTGTTTTCTGAGGGAAGTGATGACTGTGCTGATAGTCCCCACTAAGTCAGGGCGAACTCTCGTGGACCCACCTCTGGCTTTGGTTTCTCAAGGTAAGTAGAAAATGAACATGGCATGCCTCTGAATTCTCCCTTTTAGAAAGAAGTTGGGTCATGAGTAGCTAAGACACACACATGTTCCTGTATGTCATATATATGAGATATAGGTAACTCACATGTCCCTTTCGAATAGATTAACAGAGGAGGAAACCTTAATCCAGCCCTGGTCCCCCGGCTCCAGTTTGCTCTTCTTTCCTGCCCTGAAAGAGTGGCCCGATGGTTTCTGAGAGCCTTTACTGTGTGGCGTGTCTCTAACTCTGTCTCTCTCCTTCCACCCCACCCTATCTGGACTCCCTCTGATTTAGCCCTCTGAGGTCCTGGATTGTGTTGGATCAAGCAACGTGAAAATAATACTTAGGTGTGACTGAGGCTTCTGCTCACAGATAAGCTGCTCTGGGTGTCTTACCTGTAGCTGATTTGAAGGGTCCCTCATGGTGCATCATCAATTAGGTGTTTGTCCAGAAGATCGGCCCTTCCACCCCACGTTTGACTGGCTTCTGTGATCTGCTTCCATCTGTGGAAGCCCTGTGAAGCAGCTGTACTCTGCCCTACAGGTTCTCTGTAAGTCAGAATTGACCTGACTCGGGATGGGCTTTACTGTCACTTGGGGAGTGCCGGGTAGTGGAGTGGATACCGAGCTCAGCTGCTAACCCAAAGGCTCCTGAGTCAAAGCCATCGGCGGCTCAGTGGGAGAAAGACGGATCAGTTTCTTTCTGTCAGGAATACAGAAAACCCTCGGGGGCAGTTCTGCGCTGGCCTTATAGGTCACTCTGAGTCAGAACCAAACAAGGGGAATGGCTTTTCGGTTTATGTAAATGAAGTGGGGTGTTTTTGTTTTGGTTCATGCAGTGTTTCACACTCTTCCCACTTTACATTCGTATTTCTTATTAGTAAAAACCAGTGCATTTTCATGAGGAAAAGCCATTTTCCATAGCCAATAAGTAGCTATGCAAATTATATTTTTCATGTAGGAACAAATCATCCATGCTTGGTACACTCTACTTGGAACCAGGAGCTGGGATTGAAGCGCTTAGCCAGGGACTCTGCCTTTCATGTTACCACTGGCATCGTCTCCCTCTCCTTCACTAACTAGAGTTCATGAGCACACAAGTCCAAGCCAGACTCGAGTCCTCCAATGGAAATGGATGTGAAAATGTGCCCGCTCTCATCAAATTCTTTCTTTTGCAGGAGATTTTATTGACATTTAAATTCACATCTGTGGCATCTGAGAACTCCCATATACTTGAAATAATCTGTTGGTGGTGTTTGTAAAATTCTTTAAAATATCTCTTAACTTTTATTTTCATGGAAATGTGTCAGCAGCATGTATTAGTCATGGTAAATGTTTTGGAGGTAAACCAAGGTACATAATCCTTTGGAAAGTAGTAAAGCGATGCCGTTTGCAATTGCAGATCCAATTAGACCCAAAGAAATGGAAATAACCCCAGGCATCTGAAGAAGACGTTTTTCAAAAGAACCCAATGTCGATAGGGAAGGGTGTCTAATACATAGGTGAGCTCTCATAAAACAATAATGAGAGGGCAGCTGCCATAAAGCAAAATACTTCTCAGTGGTAGTCATGCTATTACCTAGTTGTTTTCCAGAAAGCTCCAGAAAAATGGGCAAGACTTTAACTCTGAAAACATATAGCTGTATCTTAATTTTTAAAAGATCAGAACTTTTCCTGGAAGGCAATAGAATTATAGAGCCCCAACTAACTTGCCAACTATGCTAGGTTCAAGATTTCGGTTTCCCTTGAGAGTATATTTGTGTGATGACTTCCAGGGTCTTTTGGCTTTGCTCAGAACTTGTTTTACTTTGCCTATATTTTTAGATAATATTAAAATCAAACTTGGGAATCATATTAGATACCTCTCTAGTATAAGGTTTTGCTTTGGTTAAAATATGCCAAATCAGGGCACACATTTAGAAATTAAATAAGAAGGCCTCTCTTCAGCCGGATGACTAAGAATACCTATGCTGTTCCAGTAGTTTGGTGGTTTACCACTATGTACTGGGCCCTATGGTCAGACCACCAGGAAAGAAATGGAAGTTTAGAAAAAAGGCACTCCCAATAATGTAGGAATAAAGGCAGTAGTCTTTCTCCCCCCTCCCCTTATTTATGTATTTCCTTACTTATTTACTTATTGATGTATTTTGAGATTTTCATGGCTATTATATAGCATAGTGCCTGACACCCATTAGGGGCTCAGTAAGTATTGGTGGAGGAAGGGAGTTGTGATGAGATGGATGGATGGATGGATGGATGGATGGATGGATGTCAGCTGGACCACTGAGTGATGGCTAGTAGCCCAATTAGGGGAAAGGAGTCACCTTCAATTTTTTTTTTCCTGTTTTCCTTCTTGTTGCTGAATTTTGTTCTGCATTTTCCTCCCATCCTATCTGGGACATTCTGTTATTTCTCTGGTCAGAAAGGTCAGTCTTGGTAGCCAGGCACCTTCCCATTCTTCCGGGTTAGACGAGGCTGTGATTCAGGTGGGTTATCAGTTCCATGGACTAGTTTCTTCTTTGCGCCTTTGATTTTCTTCCATCTCTTTTGGTCCATGAAAGTAGAAGCCTCTTAAATGTCACTCACATGCTTTTTATTTTTTTAACCCTTTATTGTGCTTTAAGTAAATGTTAGCAAGTTTACATAGCAATTAATTTTACATTCACCACTTCAAACACAAATTGTTCTGTGACATTACTTCAACCCCAACAAGGTGTCAGTACTTCCCCTGCTGCCACCCTGGGTTCCCCGTTTCCTTTCTTCCTGTTCCTTTGCTTCTCTCCTCTTCTAACCTGTGCTTTCGGGTAGCTAGTTGACTGCTCTAAGAAACACATTTGTCTTTGTTGTTCTTTAGATTAGTCTATGATTTGGATGGAAAGTGGTCTTCAAATTTCCAATGATCTAGGGGCAATAGACTTGAGGGTTCCTC